TTTTATACGAGTGATTCCAAGGCATAGTGACAAACCACTGATTTTTAGAATCAGTTCATTTTTAATTTCCTCATTTACTCACAATTTAAACCAATTTCTTATGTATGATAATGCAGGTATGAGGTATCCAGGATACTTTACTGGTCTACATTTAGGACTCAAAAATGAACTTGAGGGAGAGTCTAAAAAGCTCTCTACTTTGCCATTATGTTCCAAGGTGCAGATAGGGTAAACGCGGTATATTCCGACACATTAAGGACGTAGCAAAAAATGAATGGCTATAAAAAAATCACCGTACGCGCAACTCAAGTTCTGTTTGCTTTACGTCACTCTCAAAACACCGCACTATGCGCCATAGTGGCAAACCATAGCTTTTTTAGAATCAGTTCATTTTTAATTTCCTCATTTACTCAAGATTTAAACCAATTTCTTATGTATTATAATGCTGGTATGTGGTATCCAGGATACTGATACTTTACTGGTCTACTTATATGACTCAAAAATGAACTTGAGGGAGAGTCTAAAAATCTCTCTGCTTTGCCACTATGCTATGCACCAGCAACAATGAAACATCACAAAATGTTGCCATATTTATTTAAAAGCCTTTAGAATGCAACCTACCAAATCCATATAATCCAATGCTGTGTGTGACTGAATTTGGCATTTTGTGAGACTAATTCCGGCCGTGCTTCAAACTCTACTAGGGTAAATGCGGTACCTATATTCCGACACTTTGAGGAAGTAGCATTAAATGAATGGCTAGCCTATAAAAATTACACTGTATGCGCAACCGGCCGCCGCAACCTATGGTGCAGAAGATGGAAGCAGCGTCACCAATATATGGTTTTTAAGACCAAAGCGTCGCCGACCATTAACAAGATGCTTCTATGGGTAATTTTTAATGAAAAGCCATTTACGCTGAGTAATGAAAAACTATTTACAAGCCACGAACTTATTTACAAGATTGCATGCATGTCTTACCTTTAATAACTAATTTTACCCTAAAAACAGTCCAATTGTACTGCAACTTAGCAAGTGTCAACTGAACATGTGATGGTGCAGTCTGACTGCTCCAATGTGACCGCAACTATGATTTTGTTTGCATTTATTTGGCGGAACTCACTGCAACCGATTTCCAGACAAACTTTACTGCATCCTGATCCATCCAACATACCGGAAACCTTACTTTTTTCTAAATAGTTGGCCAAAGACTGACAAATATATTAAATGCTAGAATTTCAATATAAATGTGCAGGCAAGATCTTCTGAAGGCGTAAATTTTGCTAATGAAGCATCGCCAAAGATCTTACAATATTAATCCACTCTCTGCACAGTGGCGTGCAACTCAAGTTCTGTTTGCTTTACGTCACTCTCAAAACACCGCACTACGCGCCAGCAACAATGAAACGTCACAAAATGTTGCCATATTTAAAAGCCTTTAGAATGCAAACCTGCCAAATCCATATATTCCGACACTGTGTGAGACTAATTCCGGCCATGCTTCAAACTCTACTAATTTGTAATGCCAACACTCTTGTGTTTGAATTCCGATCGCTGTGTGTCGTGTGAGCTGTATTGGAATACAACACAGCTTGGAATTAGAACACTATTGAATATTGAGCACTACTTAATTAGGCTTTTAATTAAGAGCTATTAAGCTTTTAATTAGGAAAATTTTAATTTTTGCACACAGCTTGGAACGAGCTGTGTGTGTCCAATTCCAAGCTGTGTTGGAATTAGTTTTTCTGTGTCTAAAACCGTCTCTTAGCTTAATCATCTATTAATTTTTTTACTACTTGAAATCAGCAAATAGGTACAAGTATACTTGAAGGATTCCTAATATATTCACAGACTGACACTTATTTGAAAGTCTCAAACCATAATATTCTTTTTACACAAACAGTTTATCACTATTCGGTAGGCAAGGTCAACTATCAACTTTGACACATTTTTCAATGTTCTCACTGGGTGATGACTGACGCACACTGTCTCTCTTTGGATCTCAACATTTTCCCACCAGACGGCCCAGACCTAGTGTTTTGGCAATAGTATGGCACGCAAAAGTATGACGTCACTATTTCAACCATCAACAAATGCGTGGAACTAAGAAAAAGCTTAATATAAAGGAAAAAAGTTGAGAAGTGTCGGAATTACCCACGATGTCGGAATATACCATGTTTACCCTACTTTACCCTACTACCTTTACCCCTACCTTTACCCTACAAATAGATGTTTTCTACAAGCATGGAAAACATCTAGGTATCTACCTTTAGGGCTGCAACTAGAGGTTTCCTCACTTTCCTACCACTTCCAGAACCACAAGATTTCTGCCAGATGATTTACCTCCTATCTAATTGTTGACAAAAGTGCACCAGCGGGCTGCAAGACTCCAATTGTATTAAAAATTGGTCACGCCAGAGCTGCAAAATTTCAGAAACAAGTAGGAAAATTCTAATCCTGGACAGAAACTTGCCAGAAAGTAGGTAGGTGAATATCTGAAGATATTTGGCCATGCATCAGCGGTAAAATTTACGCCTTCAGAAAATTATGCTAACATATTTGGATTGAAATCATTGCATTTAAGGCTGGGGCAAGCAAATTAAGAAATCATATATTTACAACCTATAAAAAATCCCTAGAAAAGTGAGTTTTAAAAAAAAGTACCTCTGCTGAAGTTTGTACTGACTACTGACTGTACTCTGTAGTCTGTAGCCAAAAAAATATTTGCCATATTAAAAAATTTTACTTACCGTCAACCGGGGCTACTCGAGACGATTTCGAACGTTTTTCATTCATAACTTCTTACCATGAAACATTTCATAAACAAGTTTAGGCTCATTTCAAAGTTTTTTGCAAGTGCTATCACATGGCTCCTCCAAAAAAATTCCATGTGCTATTTGTAAGGTGCCAGAAGCAAAAAAAGTGTCCCAAGTAGCCTTGTCAAACGGGGCTACTAGGGACACTTGGAATAAAACTTCATTTTAAAACATTTGAAGCATGCAGAGCAATAATCAGTATGGAATTCTGTATAGGTAATGTATTATCATGTTTACAAAACAAAATGTATCAAAAAATTTACCACCTTACACCTTCCACCGAAGTGACAATTGATACTCTTACACTGAGCTCGTCAGAAACTGCGGACACCCGGACAGCTGCACTTCCTTTAACTCGCTTGCGTGTGGTTCGAAAACCAATAAAAAGTTGGCAACTCTTCCCTCCAAATCATACACCTGTCTCTTATACACATCTAGATGTGTATAAGAGACAGGCGCAGGACAGCGCGTGCTGGGCAAGTTAGCTTGCGATGCTGCCAAGCTAATGTCGTCTGAGGGGATTTAAGAAGAAAAAATCTAAAGAGGACACTAAATCTGAGCCTCTCTCGGCCATCGACTCTCCTCGTCTTGCTTAGAGTCAGCTTTGAGAGCGGCTTCTTGCGGTAATCGAGGCTTATTGTTGTGACGAATTATTAAAT